TGTGATACATCACATTAACAAATTGAAGAACAAAGACCATATGATTATCTCAATAGGTGCAGAGAAAGGATTTTATAGAATGCAACACCCTTTCTTGATGAAAACTCTAAGCAGACTGGGTATAGAAGGAACATTCCTCAACACAATCAAGGCAATTTATGACAAACTCATAACCAGCTTCCTATTGAATGGGGAAAATTTGGAAGCATTGCCACTGAGATCTGGAACCAGACAAGGATGCCCACTCTCGCCATTGCTATTCAAGATAGTCCTGGAAGTTTTAGCCAGAGCTATTAGACAAAAAAAAGAAATTAAAGGGATTCAAATTGGGGATGAGGAAGTCAAACTAACCCTATTTGCAGATGACAAATATAAATATAGGGGATCCAAAACACTCCACCAAGAGATTATTAAAACTCATAGAAGAGTTTGATAAAGTAGCAGGATATAAAATAAACACACAAAAATCTACCACCTTTGTATACACAGACAATGCCATGGCTGAAAAAGAACTTCTAATATCAATCCCATTCACAATAGCTACAAAAAATACCAAATACCTTGGAATAAATTTAACCAAGGATGTCAAAGATCTCTGCAATGATCATTACAAAACATTAAAGAAAGAAGATACAAAAAACTGGAAAAATATTCCGTGTTCATGGATTGGAAGAATCAATATCATCAAACTGTCCATTCTTCTAAAAGCTATCTGCAGATTCAATATGACACCAATCCAAATACCAAAGACATTCCTCTCAGATCTAGAAAAAAAGATGCTGAAATTCATATGGAAACACAGGAGACCTTGAATAGCTAAAGCAATCTTATATAACAAAAACAAAGCTGTAGGCATCACAATACCAGATTTCAAGACATACTACAAGGCAGTTACAATCAAAACAGCCTGGTGCTGGTACAAAAAACAGATGGATAGACCACTGGAACAGAATAGAAATGCCAGAAATCAATCCAAGCATCTACAACCAACTTATATTTGACCAAGGAGTTAAAAGCAATCCATGGAGCAAAGACAGTGTCTTCAACAAATGATTCTGTGAAAACTGTATCTCTGCATGCACCTGTATGAAGCAGGACACATATCTTACACCTTACACAAAAATCCATTCAAAATGTATTAAAGGCCTAAATCTAGGATCTGATACCATCAAATTACTAGAGAACACTGGGGAAACCCTGCAAGACATTGACAAAGGCAAAGAGTTCTTGGAAAAGACCCCAGAGGCCCAGGCAGTCAAAAAAAATCAACAGGTGGGATTACATCAAATTGAGAAGCTTCTGTTCTGCAAAAGAAACACTCAGGAAAGTAAACAGGCAATTGACAGAATGGGAGAAATTATTTGCAAACAATTCAACTGATAAAGGATCAATAACCAGAATATATAAAGATATCAATAAACTACACAAGAACAAAGCAAAGAACCCAGTTTAGAAATGGGCCAAGGCCGGCGCCGTGGCTCAATAGGCTAATCCTCCACCTTGCTGCGCCGGCACACCGGGTTCTAGTCCCGGTTGGGGCGCCGGATTCTGTCCCGGTTGCCCCTCTTCCAGGCCAGCCCTCTGCTGTGGCCAGGGAGTGCAGTGGAGGATGGCCCAGGTGCTTGGGCCCTGCACCCCATGGGAGACCAGGAAAAGCACCTGGATCCTGGCTCCTGCCATCGGATCAGCGCGGTGCGCCGGCTGCAGCGGCGGCCATTGGAGGGTGAACCAACGGCAAAGGAAGACCTTTCTCTCTGTCTCTCTCTCACTGTCCACTCTGCCTGTCAAAAAAAAAAAAAAAAAAAAAAAAAAAGAAATGGGCCAAGGACTTAAACAGGCATTTTTCAAAAGAGGAAATCCAAATGGCCAATAGACACATGAAAAAAAATGCTCAAAATCACTAGCCATCTGGGAAATGCAAATCAAACCACAATGAGGTTTCACCTCACCCCAGTTAGAATGGCTTTCATACAGAAACCAATAAACAAATGCTAGCGAGGATGTGAGGGAAAAGGTACCCTAATCCACCGTTGGTGGGAATGTAAACTGGTAAATGACTATGGAAATCATTTAGAGATACCTCAGAAATCTGAATATAGACCTACCATATGACCCAGCCATCCCACTCCTGGGAATTTACCCAAGAGAAATGAAATCAGCAAATAAAAGAGTTATCTGCACCTCCATGTTTATTGCAGCTCAATTTACAATAGCTAAGACATGGAATCAACCTAAATGCCCATCAACTGAAGACTGGATAAAGAAATTATGGGATATGTACTCTATGGAACACTACACAACAGTAAAAACAACAACAACAAAGAAATCCAGTCATTTGCTACAAAATGGATGCATCCAGAAAACATCATGCTTAGTGAAATAAGCCTGTCCCAAAGGGACAAATACTATGTGTTCTCCTTGATCTGAGATAATAGAGCACCTAAAAGGAAATCTGTAGAAGTGAAATTGACACTTTGGGAAGCAATGACTTGAACGACTCTTGTCTTGACTGTTGAGGAACAGTTTTGTTTTTTATTAATGGAGATCGGGGTGGGAACGGGAGAGGGAGGAGGTGGTGGGGTGGGAGTGAGAGCGGGAGGGCAGCTATGAATCACTCTATTTCTAAAGTTGTACTTAGGAAGTTTGTACTCATTAAATAAATGGTTTCTTTGGGGGAAAAATAAATCTAGGATATCCATTTCTTTGGAAAAAAAAAAAAAGACTTCCTGCAGACAGCAGCCATTTGTGAATGCTAACACACATTTCATGCAGATACAACCCCAACTGTCACCTCTTCAAAAAGGCGCAGGGGCCAGCGCTGTGGCGTAGCAGTTAAAGCCACTGCCTGCAGTGTCAGCATCCCACACGGGCACTGGTTTGAGTTCTGGCTGCTCCACATCTGAACCGCTCTCTGCTATGGCCTGGAAAATCAGTAGAAGATGGCCCAAGTCCTTGGGCCCTTGCACCCTCGTGGGAGACCTGGAAGAAGCTCCTTGGTTACTGGCTTTGGATCGGTGCAGCTCCAGCTGTTATAGTCAATTGAGGAGTGAACCAGCAGATGGAAGACCTTTTTCCCTCTCTCCCTCTCTCTTTGCCTCTCCTTCTCTCTCTGTGTAACTCTGACTTTCAAATAAATAAATAAATCTTTTTTTAAAAAAAAAAGAACAAAAACATTCATGAGGTCAACAGAATGCTGATAGTAAGTCTTGAAAAGAAATTACAAGAGAACAAGATTTCTAAATAATTATGACTCAAGAACACAGAGGCTCACATTCAGAACAAATATTTATACATCAAATGAGCAAAATACGAAAATAAGGAATAGTTCATGGCCCAGTGGAGTTATCCCAGAGATACAGGTTTAACATTCAAAAACCAATGAAAAACAAGATAAAAGCCAATCAACATGATTCATCACACTGACATAATAAAGGAGAAAACAATAAAACTATATCCAAAAAATTGACAAAAGTCAACAGTGTTTTGCCACAAAATACTTCAGGAAACTAGTATTAGAAAGGAACTTCCTAAGTTTGACAAAGGGTATCAAGAGCTACCATCAAACTTAATCATGAAATACTATACACTTCACTTCTAATACACGAAACCAGGTAATCATGGAGTTCAAGACGAGGCAAAGTGTCATCATCCTATGACGACAGGAATGCTGAAATGGTGGCTTCTGTCTGTGGTGGGCAAGCGCTGGCATGGAAGTGGGTGCTTCCTGGCTTTATGGAAGGAGCCATGTCCTGATTAGGATGCTGGAAACACAGGGAATACATCTGCTAAAATGTAAATTGTACCCTTAAAGTGAATGCCCCTCACTGCATGTAGGTACGTCCTCAAGCTCAGCGAGACTTTCTGCCCTTAACTCACTATTTCGTATTTCCCAAGTGGCATTAGCTGATCATGAGCAACACAGGCATGGCCACAAGCAAAATAATGGGGGAGCCAGAAACACTATCCGGAAGTTCCCATCAGTGAAAGAAAACTTTACTTTTGTGCCCCTTTTCCTTCACAATCACACAATCTCTCTCTCTCTCTCTCTCTCTCTCTCTCTCTCTCTCTCTCTCTCTGATGATTCACCTTGTCTGCCCGTGCAAAGGTGACATTGTGACTATAGGCAGATGGGCATTGATTTACGGCTCTTGTTCCAAGCTGAGATTACCCACTGAGGAGATGAGAGGCCAGCTGTGGCGCACAGCTGTAACTGATCTTTGGGAGAGCTTTCCATTAATTTGGAAGAAAGAAGATTATCAGGCTAGACTGAAGTTGGGAGAATTCTCAGGGCTTTCAGAAATGGTCTGGTATATACTCCATAGTGTAGATGGTCTATTTTCCTCTTGATTTCATGATAAGCTAGAATCAAAGAAACCTCAAAAATAGTTACTTTCATTTAATTTATGTGCAGCTTTTCTTGTGGCTCAGCAGAGCAAGTTCCTAAATCTTGATTTGCCTTGTCTAGCAAGAGCATATTTCTCTGTGTTATATGAGGAATTTATGCAGGAAATCTCTCGGGTGACATCCCTGGGGTTGATGGAGTAGATACCGCCTTCTATGAGAGACTATAAATACTTTATTTGGGGAATTTAATATTCAGAAGCCCTAGATAGGCTGCTGCTTTATAATAAATTACACCAGGAGGACAGAGAGAGAGCACATTGTTTTACTAATACTGTTTGGGAAAAAAAATGTACAGGATTAATTTGCCAACTAATACTGACTTCAGCTGAGCTCCCACATGATAAATCAGAAAGAAAGATCTGACCTCACAGGCCAAGTCAGTTTGCAAATGGAAACTGATATCCACAACAGCACCACTATCATCTTCTCTGCGCACAGTGAAGCATGTGTTTCCTGTTATATATGACCGGCTCCAACATACAGGATCTGACACTTGGTAGGTACCCAATCAATGCAGAATACATCAATGTCGGTTACACTAAATAAAACAATTTTATGAATCATGTTGCACTGAGCATTTGCCAATAATCACTTGCCTTTTTAAAATCCAGCATGCAGAGCTTGGCTTTCTCTCCGAATTGCCACTTGCACTGTGTGTTTGCATCGTATAACTCTCCCGGCAGCTTCTCGGGGTACTTGTATTCCTTCACGGACTTTGGCTGGTCAGCAAGACACACAGCCTGAGCAGTGCTGAAAAACAGGAGTTTGGGCGACCAGGATGCACACTGAATTGTGCCTTTCATTCACGCAACTTCACATGCATAGAGAGAGGGAGATTTTTCTCCTGAGGTCCAACGTGACAGGTGTCTTCATTACATTTAAATACAGGGGCCGCGCTTTCTGGAATTGTCCATTTTATATTTCACTTTTTCCAGGAACACAATTTGCTCTTCATTAGATTCCTCAAACTTGTCATGGGGAAAAGTGAAACTGAACAATTATAACCAGATGTTCAATGTGAGAACCCTTATTCCAGAGCCTTTCTTGTCCACTTCTTGCCAGAAACAATCAAAAGATGGAGATGTGCAGTGTAAAGTCAAAATAAAATCAGCCCATCTCAGACACTGGGGTTCCCTCCCTCCCTCCCTCTCTCCCCCCCTCCCTGGCATCTTCTCTTCTACACCCTCTCCTTCCTCCCCTTTAGCTTTTGCTAGCCTGGGGGACATCTGTACAATACCTTACACCTTCTAGGAGTTCTTCATGCAACACTGGTTTTCCACCAGCAATGGTCTATGCTTGGGCTAATTTCTGACTAGATCACCACGAAGAAGGAAATTAACTTTACCAAAGCTTACTGGTAGATGGGCAAGCACCAGCTGATGATTGATTCCTCATGATGTTCTCTGGGATAATTTAAGCATTTGGAAAGGAGTATTTTTAAATGTTTGCGTTTATAAATTGTAACTAAATCCTTCCTATAAATTTCAGTAGGGTCCCCCAAACTTCTGAAAACAAAAACTATAATCACAATAAATTGAGCAATGTTTAATAATCCACCGAACTTTGCTTTGAATGGATTTTCTCCTTGGGGACAAGAGCTTGGCTCCTGTTTCTAGGACCCCAGCTCCAGATTCTACTGTACTGGAGCTCAGGGGTTTGTGCACAGAAAGCAAAACAGAACCCTGATGGGCTTACTGTGAATTCTGCTAAACATTTAGGGAAGAAATGCCAATTCTAGATCTCTTCCAGTGGACGAAAGTAGAAGGACTACTTCCTAATTCATTCTACGAGGCCAGCATTATCCTGGTACCAAAACCAAGGACACTGTAAGAAAATGCCAGACCAATGTCTCCCAGAAACGCAGTGGCAGAACTCTTCCATGAAGTATCTGCAAACTGAATCCAACTACGCACAGAAAGTCTTACATACCATAGCCAAGAGAGACTAATCCCAGAGTATGCAAGGCTGCTCCAACATTCGAAAATGAACTAATCAATTTACAACAACCAGCTAGAGAAGCAAACTCACATGGTCACATCAAAAGGTGCAGAAAAATATTTAACAAAATCCAACACTTATTTGATAAAAACTCCCAGCAAAATAGGAATGGAAGGACCCCTTCGACTGGATAAAGAACATCTGCAAAAGCCCACAGCTGATATCACACGTAAAGAGGAGAACCCAGAAGCTTTCCACAGAGATCTCAAACAAGGCAAGGCCACCTCCTCTAACCACTTCTTTTCAACTCTGTGCTGGTAGGCTTAGACGGTCTAACAACCAAGTGAGGGAAATAAAATGTACACACTAAGAAGAAATAAAACTGTGTCTGCAGGTGACATCATTGTGACTGTGTATGTAGGATGTTCAAAACAATACAGAAAGAAAGTCCTAGAACTAACAATTGGAGCACGGCTGCAGGATGAACGGTCACCATGCAAATGCCAATGATTTTTTATAAACCAGCAATGAACTAGTGGAATTTATTTAAAAATCTCACAAAACTCATTCATATTAGCACCCAGAAAAAGAGACACTTAGGTCTAAATACAGCAAAATACATACAAAAGTTGGAGGAAAACTATAAAAATTTGAAAGACATCAAATAAAAACTAAATAAATGAAGAGATAGCCCACATTGAAGGACAGGGAGATTCAGTGTTGTCAAAAAGCCAGTTTTTCCCATCCTGATGCACAGCTTTAAGGCAATGTCCATCAAAATTCAAGCAAGCTATTTTTTGAATGTAGGCAAACTGACTCTAAAGTTTATATGGAAAGCAAAAGATACAGAATAATAAAGGAAGTATTGAAGAAAAACAGCAAGGGTAAAAGGCTGATGCTACTCAACTTCAAGATTAAGTACACAGCTCAGTAATCAAGACAGGATGAAACTAGCCAAAGAACGGAGAAACAGACCAACAAAACAGATTAAAGAGCCCCAAACAGGCCTACCAACACCGTCAGCTAATCTCTGACAAAGGTACAAAGGCAATAGAATGCAGAAATGAAAGTTCTTCCAACAAATAATACTGGAATAACTGAACATCGATACGCAAAAGAACATGAATGCAGACAGACTTTATAACATTAAAAAATTAACTCAAAAGGAATCATAGGTATACATGTAAAATGTGAAGCTGTAGAACTTCTAGAAAATAACACAGGAAAACATCTCAGTGACTACGGGTATGGCAATGACTTTTTAGAAAAACATTAAAGGTGCTATCAATTAAAGAAGTAATTGATGGGCTGAACTTCCTTAAAATTAAAATCTTCCACTCTGTGAAATACATCATTAAGAAAATGAACAGAAAAGCTGCAGACTGAGGGACAATCTTTGTAAAGAGACACAGCTGACAAAGGTATATTATACAAAATATATAGGTAACACTTAAAGCTCAACCATAAGAAAACAAATTGATCAAAAAATAGGCAAAATATCTGTTCAGACACCCTATCAAACAATATATACGGATGACAAATATGCAAATAAGACAACGCCCAACATCATATGTCATTAGGAAATTACAAATTCAAACACTGATGAGGTGCCACCACAGGTCGATTAGAAGGGGACGAAGTCAAAACAGTGACAAATTCAGGTGCAGATTATGTGGCACAGTAGGAAGTCTCTCACTGAGAAAGCAAATGGTTCAGCCATCAAAGCTGTGGGTTCGAGAAAGGAAATCATTGCAACCATTTTACAAACAATGTGCCATAATATGCACATGGGAGAAGTCAATTTAGACTGTCGGAGTCCACACAGCAGTCTAGTGGTCTACACGCAGTAAGCATAAAAGATCACACGGATGGGTATTCCCATGAGTTTGGAATTAGCACCCATCATAATGGAACAATATGGATAATTCTGACCCCATTAACAAATGAAACTTGTGTTTATCGAAAGACAATCATTAAAAGCATAACTAGTGTGTCGCGGAGGAAGCAAAGATGTCTACAACACACCCAAGTTCATTCCAGAGTGGGAAACAATGTTTATGCTCTGAATTCAGAGATAAGAAGACAGGAGGCCTAGTTTTTGAAAGGGTACAGGGTATCTGAACAGGAACTTGACGAAGACTGTTATTCAAGTGGCTTTTAAACTTGTAAGAAGGTGTTGAGCCCCACTAGCTGCCACACGGATACGCTGCTGTACACCCACTGGAAGGGCTGGCACGGCAAGCACGAAGATGAGACTGTGAGCTGGCAAGGATGTGGGGCCACTGGACTCCCCGACTGCTCCTCGTGTAACTGCATGACCACTTACAAAAGCTCTTTGGTGCTGGCACCGCGGCTCACTAGGCTAATCCTCCGCCTGCGGCGCCGGCACACCGGGTTCTAGTCCCGGTCGGGGCGCCGGATTCTATCCCGGTTGCTCCTCTTCCAGGCCAGCTCTCTGCTGTGGCCCGCGAGTGCCACATGGGAGACCAGGAGAAGCACCTGGCTCCTGCCTTCAGATCAGTGCAGCCAGCCTTTTGGGGGGTGAAGCAACAGAAGGAAGACCTTTCTCTCTATTTCTTTCTCTCACTGTCTAACTCTGCCTGTCAAAAAAAAAAAAAAAAAAAAAAAAAAAAAAAAACTCTTTGGTGGTGTGTACTGAAATCATACGTATGTATTTGTGACCTGAAATTCCTTTCCTATGTATCCTCAGAAACATATATGTACACCAGAAGAATAAGAATAGTAACACACCTTGTAATAGCCCAAACTGGAAACTCAAATGTCCATAACCAACAGAATGCATTGACAAATTAGAAAATATCCACATAAGAAAAAATAAGTAAACTAATGCTATATGAGCGCACTTCAAATGAAGAGATAAGGTCATCCTAGAAGGAAAAAAGTGAAATCCATGCATACAAAGGGCCTTCAGAGCTTTATGGAAATTACTTATTGTGAAAAAGCTATGTATTGGATTTCAAGTTTCTCCACAAAATAAACACTCGTTTTTCTGTGAACATTTTGAAGTCCCCTTGTATTTATATGCAGTAACAAGGATGAATCTCATACTCAAAGAGTAGTGTATGGGGCAGGTGCTGTAGCGCAATGGGCTAAGCCTCAGCCCGCAGTGTTGGCATCCCATAAGGGCACCAGCTCATGTCCTGGCTACTCCTTTCCAGTCCAGCTCTCTGCTAAGGTCTGGGAAAGCAGCAGAAGATGGCCCAAGTGCTTGGGCCCGTGCACCTGCATTGGAGACCCAGATGTAGCCCCTGGCTCCTGGCTTCAGATCAGCCCAGCTCCAGCCACTGTGACCATTTGGGAGTGAACCAGCAGATGGAAGACCTTTCTCTCTGTCTCTTCCTTTCTCAGTTTGTAACTCTACCTCTCAAACAAACAAGTCCTAAAAAAAGAGAGTAGGATATACCATATCATTCTGTTCATAGACAATTCATGGCCAGGCAGACGAATCTCCACTGTTCCATGAGAGAGGAGTGATTACTCATGGGAAGAGGGAGTTCAGACTGGAGCAGAGCGACGAGGTTTTCTGTTTATCCTGATCTGGGAAGAAGTCACAATGCCAGGTTCCCTGCATGAAAACCCACTGAGGGGCCGGCGCTGTGGTGCAGTGGGTAAAGCATCCCATATGGGTGCTGGTTCAAGTCCCGGCTGCTCCACTTCTGATTTGGCTCTCTGCTGTGGCCTGGGAAAGTGGTGGAGGGTGGCTCAGTCGTTGGGCCTCTGCACCCATGTCGGAAACCTGGAAGAAGCTCCTGGCTTTGGATTGGCACAGCTCCAGCTGTTGTGGCCAATTGGGGAGTGAACCAGCAAATGGAAGACCCCTCTCCTTCTCTGTCTGTGCAACTCTGACTTTCAAATAAATAAATAAATAAATCTAAAAAAAATCGAGCTGTATGCTTAGAATTTTGTACTTTTCTGTTGATCTATTGTACCACAAAAAAAGTTAATGAAATCAATAAGGCAAGGTTGGAAGTACCATATTTCAAAAGCCTCTTCCCACTCCAATGAATGAATTATAATGTATGAATTATTCTAATGAATGAATTATGAAGTATGACACAGCAGAGCAGGGTGAGACCTGGAATGCACTCACCTCCTATTGTGCAAACACACTTTGCTGGGCCCGGACGTCACATGATACTTCCTCCCTGACGCTGGGGGTGTGGGGATGCTGGACCACGCGCCCCTAGGCTCCAGCTAGCAGTTCCCTGTGCTGGTCCCTTCCCTTGCTCATGGATGCATGCGAGTGTGCATACTCAGAAGGGAGGCGCAGCAACTGTTCTGCAGGACAGGACTCAAATTTCCATAAAGTAAACTGAAGATGAGTCCATGTGCTCATGAAACTTAAAATCATGAGCTACAGTTTCCCCAAGCCGCAGACCTCCCGGACGCAGACGTGAGTGACTTGGCAGTGGGGTCTGTGTCTGTTAGTAGGAAATGACACTCGCCCTCATTGGCTAGGCTGATGCCTTCACTGTGGGCGAGTGTCTGTCCTTCATGACAACCAAGAATGGAGAGCTGTGCTGACAACTTCAGCTGAAATCTACATGTAATTCCACGTACCAAATGCTAGACAGCTAATACAGGAGAGGAGAATCACTTTAAAAGTCAGCCATATACCCTTACTCATCGTTGGGAACATATCCAAGTCACCTAATTGATGGAGAATATAACAGTATTTTGATTACTTGGATATCAGGAAGCCAGCAAACAGTCGAGAAGACAGCATCAGATTCATCAAGCCAGTGAGCGGCAAGGTGCAACACACTGGACAAGTGTCCAACTGCAGCTGACTCGCAAGCAAACAGAGCGAACTTGACAATGAGTGGTTTTCACGGAAAATTAATTTTTCAATAAAGCAAATTTGTGGGTAAATAGAATCTTACATATCCATTTATAATCACGTGGTAAAAGGAAATCCCAAGAATTCTGAAAATAAAGGTTTACTATTGAAATGTCATAGAAGTGTTTTACTGATTAGACCCCCCCCTCAAAATTAGCATATTTTAGTATGTATTTTGCCAGCCTAGGATCACAGAATGAGAAGTTGCTTTCAATTTCAGAAATTTAGTAATCATTCCTAGGATCATATTCTGATCTGAAGATTACAACCCATTTTCCACGTCCTCCCAATAATTCTGCTCTTAGCATGGATCTACTTTTTTTCCACAGTCTCCCCATATTTCTTGGCAGTCTCAGAATTTTTGGATTCTCATAATGGCCACTCTCACTACACACCTACATTTGCAGCCTTTCATTTTCCAAATTGTCAGAGCAAATTTTAAAATCTTAAAAATGCTTATACAGCTTCCCCTTTGCCACTACAACAAAAAAAGATTTTAAAAATTCTGAAAAAAAAATCTGGAAAAACAGAGAAAGGGTTTAGGATTTAGAAAACTCCAAATTTTCTTTGCTGATAAAAATAAGAATGTGGTACATATAAAGGAAGTGCTTTTCTTTATTACTGAAAGCGTAATTACACACACACACACACACACACAGCACAATGTGAACAGCTGTGAGGAACAGCCAGAACTATGCCAGCAATCCCAGCTGGACTCCTTGAGGATGCTGGGTAGGGACTTACAGGGTTGAACGTGTGTTGGGGCAGTTTGTGAATAATATCACTATTGTCCTTTTTGGAAACAGAAATGAAAGAAAACAGGATCAAGTATATATTACCAGGATACAGACATTATTCACAAAAGTTTTACTCACCCTAGGCAGTATTAAATACAGAAAACAGTCATCATTTCAGGGTGGAAACCTGTTTTTCTGCCAATGGCCATTCGGATATTCACACCACCATTCCTGGGCCATGCAAAATTATCAACTTAAAAATTAGCTTGTGGGGCCAGCACTGTGGTGTAGTGGGCTAGGGTTCTGCCTGAGATGCTGGCATCCCATATGGGCACCAATTCAAGTCCTGTCCGCTCCTCTTGCAATTCAGCTCTACAGGCCTATGCAATTCAGCTCTATGGGCCAAGAAGACCTCTCTCTCTGTCTCTCTCTCACTATCCACTCTGCCTGTCAAAAAAAAAAAAAAAAAAAAAGAAGAAGAAGAAAAGGGAAAAAAGAGTTGATTGTGGTTTGTCCTGTGCTGCACACACCGTGGTCTGGTATGTGTATCCTGAGTCTGAGGGTGAATGTCTGGTTTAGCGCGCAGGCTTGAGCACTCTAGAGCACATACTGATTTGTGCCCTTTTCTTTGGTTTACTTTATTTAATTTTCATTTGACTCTCGTATTTGCTAATTATATTATCATTTCAGTAACAGTTTGGTCTCCAGTTTGCTTCAAGGCCTCTTCCGAGGGGCTCCATCTGAGGAAGCCACCCTGGGCAGAGAGTGCCCAGTGCCCTGGGGAGTCACACCACCAGCCCAAGGAATGCATACCTTAAAAATCTGTGCAGGTACTGGCGGCTGCAGGGTGACCAGGAGAAGACCCCGTTGCGTCCTGCCAATGTAGGGGACATGATGTTGCCCTCAGACTTTTTGCACACGTTCCCTTCTCCATCATGGACCATGCCAAAGCTAGGAGAGAGAGAAAGAGAGAGAGAGAGAGGGGTGGTGCTTTCTGAATGAAGAACAGCTTAAACAATCCAACACACTCTAACAAATCCAAGTCAGGCTGTGAAGACCCCCTCCCTCTGCCGTCTGGGAGGTGGAAGTCAAAGCCCTCCCGGCGTTGCTGAGAATGGGTGTTTACAGACTGCTCTAGGGAACAGGCCGTTCAGCAAGCCGCAAGCGTGCACCAGCATCCAACCCAGGTAAACCTCAGAGGCCGCTGAGGGTAGATGCTTTAAGTACTTAGACACCAAAGGGGTGGAGGGGAGAGCTCGCGGACATCTTCTTGATAAGGAGAACACTGCTTTATGTGTCTCCTGCTCCGCAGGGCTGTCAGAATTCCCAAGGGTGCCAGGTTCCCAGATGGTAACTGATGACTCAACGAGGAGAGAGCTTAGGGGGCCGACACTGTGGCAGAGGGTAAAGCCAGCACCTACCAGGCTGGCATCCTGCATGGTACTGATTCAAGTCCTGGCTGTTCCACTTCAAATCCAGCTCCCTGCTATTGACCCATAAAAAGCACCAGAAGATGGTGAAGTGTTTGGGCCCCTGCCATTCATGGGAGAGACCTGGATAAAGCTCCAGGCTCCTGGCCTCTGTCTCTCCCTCTTTTTCTATAACTCTGACTTTCAAATAAATAAATAAATAGATCTTTTTTTAAAGAGATCATGGCATGTGAAGTTTTCAAACATGCTTCTCAGACCTTGTCCAGGGCTGCTGGATGCTTATCATGATTCAGAAAGAATAAAAACGTCACCTGTGACTCGTGAGAGGGTGCCATTCTGTCCCTGTGCTCTGTTGGGGCTGCTTTCCCAGGCTGTCTCTGCCCTGTTGGGGCAGCACCTGGCCTGAATCCCCACACCCCTCAGGACAGGAGTGACTCCAGGGGACCCTCAGCTTACCTGTGGGCATTGTTTGAAACTGAACCTGTTATTCTTGGGTGAAAAACACTCTAGGACTCTGGCTTTGGCTTATGAGACATCTGCAGTGGCTTCAGGACCCCAATAATACGATCTGTTCGAGGGGCTCCACCTCCACAGTGTCAGTCAGTGTCTCCTCCCATCACTTGGGAATAGTGCAGCCTTGCTCTCATGCAGCTCACACTGACCTGTGTTGCTGCCTCCCTACCAGGATGCCTACTTCCTCGGCTCCTAAAGCTGCCCCTGTGGACAGCCTCGGACTGGCACCGTCAGCTAGCCCAGAGGAGCACAGCACAGGTCCCGGGGAGGAAAGCCTATAGGAACTGGAAGCTCACAACGGCCCTGCAACCTCTTGTTAAGGACCATATGGTCTCACAGATGCAAGACCTAACTAGCCATTAATTAGGACATTAATGGTCCTAATGAGTGACACTCACAGGGAAACGGGAAGGCAAGAGAGAGAGGAGGAGAGAAGCTTAAGGTGTTACTGCATCCAGGGGACCTTGTGCTGTCAACAGCCTGACCATGAGTAGGACAGAAAGCACCCACACAGGGCAGTGGGCTCCAGAAGGGGACAAGAGAATCGGTACTTGCTGTCCACACTAAACACACATTCTTCCTCCTAACGGTCTTGTGTGAAGCTGTTTAGCATAAGTTTTTAAAAATCTCCCATTTACAGGCCGGCCTTGTAGCGTGGCCGGTAAAGCCGCGGCCTATGGCACTGGCATCCCATACGGGTACCTGTTCGTGTTCCGGCCGTCCTGCTTTTGACCCAGCTCCCTCTCATGGCCCTGGAAAGCCAGCAGAGAACAGGTTTGGGCCCCTGCACCCACATGGGAGTCCCAGATGAATCTCCTGGTTTCACCTTAGCCCAGCACCGGCCATTGCAGCCATCTGGGGAGTGAACCAGCAGATGGAAGATCTCTCTTCTTCTCTCTCTCCCTCTCTGTAGCCCTTTCAGAAAAATAATAAGCAAATCTCTTTAAAAAGATCTACCATTTATAATCACGCACTACGAGTGGTTTTATGGATGTGAGGCTCAGCATGTGGCCCCCATCTTCTGACAAATCCTGCCTGCAACCCTAGACGAGACAGGTAGAACACCGTGAGCATGGGGAGAGGCCTTGTCCAGGCTTCAGTCAAGGCGACAGCCTGCGTGAAGGCCCGGGCGGGACCCATCTGAGTGGAAGCCGAGCATGATGGAAGGGTGGGGCAAGGAAGTCTGGCTGCAGTCACTGCCGGATTTCCACCCAATTCCTGACCTACCAAGGGTGCTCAGATGCAGTCATGTTAGCCTCCACCCATTCTCCAAGTTCCATTAAAGGCATTTAATCAAGGGCAGCCACATGGCAGAGGAAACCTGTCATGGCTGTGAAAAGAACTCAGGCTGAAATCCCAGAGGGGAGGCAGCTGTGGGAAGCAAGCAATGGAAACGGAAACACTAACCCAGCCTCGCCTGGCCTGCCCTTAACCTACTTACGGGGACGATGTACTAGGGCCCAGCAACAGTCCTGGATAAATTTGTTTCCACTTCTGCCTGCACTTCTAAGGAATTCAGAGGCTTAATATCTTGGCCTCCAAGTATTCCATCTAAGGTGATTTCAGTGGTTCTTTCAAGCCTCAAGTGTCAAGTTCTGCTGATGCAGTGACCCGGCTGAGAAACACAAGGAAGCCTCCAGAGAGCATCCTGGACGCAGGCTAAAGGGCGGACCCGGCCTCTGGGGTATTTTTGGGGAATTCAACCGGCCCTTCGGGGAGGCGGGGGCGGGGGTTCTCATGCACTGTCTCAGCCCCCTCCTGGGTCGCGTACCGCATCCTCTGGGGCATTCAGACAGCCCGGGTGGGGGGTTCTCATGCACTGTCTCAGCCCCCTCCTGGGTCGCGTACCGCATCCTCTGGGGCATTCAGACAGCCCGGGGTGGGGGGTTCTCATGCACTGTCTCGGCCCCCTCCTGGGTCGCGTACCGCGGCCTCTGGGGCATTCAGACAGCCCGGGCGGGGGGTTCTCATGCACTGTCTCGGCCCCCTCCTGGGTCACGTACCGCGGCCTCTGGGGCATTCAGACAGCCCGGGGGTGGGGGGTTCTCATGCACTGTCTCGGCCCCCGTTTCCTGGGTCGCATACTGCAGCCTTTGGGGTATTCAGACAGCCCGGGGCGGGGGGGTTCTCATGCACTGTCTCGGCCCCCTCCTGGGTCGCGTACCGCGGCCTCTGGGGTATTCAGACAACCCGGGGTGGGGTTCTCATGCACTGTCTCGGCCCCCTCCTGGGTCGCGTACTGCAGCCTCTGGGGCATTCAGACAGCCGGGGGGGTGGTTCTCATGCACTGTCTCGGCCCCCTCCTGGGTCGCGTACCGCATCCTCTGGGGCATTCAGACAGCCCGGGGTGGGGGGTTCTCATGCACTGTCTCGGCCCCCTCCTGGGTCGCGTACCGCGGCCTCTGGGGCATTCAGACAGCCCGGGCGGGGGGTTCTCATGCACTGTCTCGGCCCCCTCCTGGGTCGCGTACCGCGGCCTCTGGGGTATTCAGACAACCCGGGGTGGGGTTCTCATGCACTGTCTCGGCCCCCTCCTGGGTCGCGTACCGCGGCCTCTGGGGCATTCAGACAGCCCGGGTGGGGGGGTTCTCATGCACTGTCTCGGCCCCCTCCTGGGTCACGTACCGCGGCCTCTGGGGCATTCAGACAGCCCGGGGCGGGGGGGTTCTCATGCACTGTCTCGGCCCCCTCCTGGGTCGCGTACCGGAGGCAGTGAATGCCCACCCTTCAGCTCAGAAGCACTACGTGGAGACCACAGGCAAGAGCAACAGAGAGAACAGCACATCTGAAAGACAAGGCTGGCACCGGCAGCTAGGAAGCCTAACTGCTGTTCAGATGACACACGCCAGACATTTTTGGTCCCTACGCACCACAGCACTTTATTTAAAGTGATTATTACTCTTATGTTATAGTAACAGACCCTTCTTCCTCTCTTTATCCCTTACTAGTTTATAAGTTTCTGAAGCTACTCTTCTCCTCAGGGCTCATAGCCCCACCACCCAGGGAAAGCAATAGCTGAGAACTGAGTCTCCACTTGTGCTTGTTTTGTTTAAAGATTTATGTTTTTTATTAGAAAAGCAGAGTGACAGAGAGGGACAGGGAGAAAGTCAGAGAGGGGAAGGGAGGGAGACAGAGAGACAGAGATCCATCCCACTGGTTCACCCCCAAAATGGCCAAATGGCTGGAGCTGGGCCAGTTCAAAGCCAGGAGCTCAGAACTCATTCTGGGTTTCCCACATGGTCGTAGGAGCCCAAGCACTTGGCCATCGCAGGTGCATTAACAGGGATTTGGATCTGAAGCAGGGCAGCTGGGACTCAAACCAGCACCCTGGTATGGAATGAAAGCTTTGCAAAGGAAGCTTAACCCACTGCACCACAATGTTAGCCCCTCCACTTGTTGGTTAAATGAGTAAAGGACAATTTTCCATCTATACCAATTCAAATACCCAAATATAAGTGCACTTTCACACTGCATTGGATTAGGGGGTTACATTTGCTGTCAGCTGCTTTGAACGTCTTCTATAACACTACCTTGAGTGATTCATATTTTTTCGCTGGTAATGCTATACCCAGAGGGAGACTGTCCAAGTATTTCAGAGGTTGTATAAGTCATCTCTGGCTGCACAGAGACAGCAGTTAGGGAGACAGACACCCAGGAAGGGACTCAGGGGCCAATGTCATTTGGATGGAAAATTCCACCCTTGGTGGGATGATGACGACCTGGGCAGGATCGAGAGGACGGAGCCCTGATGCAGGCTTCTCCTGAGGGGCACTGGTCCCCACGAGGCGGGGCTGAGGGAGACGGCAGTCAGGTGCCGATCAGGAGATGTGGGCAGAGCAGACAACTGCAGAGAGCCCGGGCAGTGGAGGAAGGACCTCAGGCGACATCTTGCTCTGTCATTCACAAGCTGCTCATACCAGGCAACGTCTTCAACCCCTGTGCCTCGGTTGTCTCATCTATAAAGTGCGGGAATAAAATATTCCTCGTAAACTGTGGTAGCACCTGGCACCACGCACCCGGCAAAGGAAGATTTCAAGCTTGTATCCCTTTCTCTGGTCCCGATGTGGTTCTGGCCAAACCAGTCAACACCCGATGTCACTCAGGCATGCGTGTGGCATGAATGTGTAAGGGGTGTGCGAGGTTTGACCAAAGGTTCGTTCAAATGCTTTTTGGACACAGAAACAAATAAGAAATCTTTTTTTTTTCTGACAGGCAGAGTGGACAGTGAGAGAGAGAGAGACAGAGAGAAAGGTCTTCCTTTGCCGTTGGTTCACCCTCCAATGGCCACCGCGGCCGGCGCGCTGCGGCCAGCACACCGCACTGATCCGAAGCCAGGAGCCAGGTACTTCTCCTGGTCTCCCATGGGGTGCAGGGCCCAAGTACTTGGGCCATCCTCCACTGTACTCCCTGGCCACAGCAGAGAGCTGGCCTGGAAGAGGGGCAACCGGGACAGAATCCGGTGCCCTGACCGGGACTAGAACCTGGTGTGCCGGCGCTGCAAGGCGGAGGGTTAGCCTACTGTGCCGCAGCGCCGGCCACAAATAAGAAATCTTAAAATGACTGGCAATAAAGAAGATTCGTAGGAACTGGTGCTCTGATCTGCGGGGCTCCCAGAGGGCAGCCTGACAATCAGATCATGTTATGATTAAGTGGCTCTCTTATTTCAATATTCCACAGATCCTTCAATCACCAAGTACTGCCCTGACTCAGTGAAAGGGGGCCCAGGCTTACGAGAGCTCAGTCATGAGTTGGTGGGAGGCGGACATCACTCTCAAACACTGGAACTGGCACGTAATATCCCCGGGGAAGTATGGATCAGCCAAGTGGTGTGATAGGACTAACTGGTAACAACACAGACTCTGCTTCTTTCAGGAAGACCTCCCTGATGGTCACTTTGTGGTCCCTTGTAGTGCCGACAGCCTCGTTCCTCCATCTCTTACACAGCATGGCTGTTCTATTTTTCCTGTTAGACGTGTGAAGGTCATGGGTCCCTTACACCTTATACATCCTACTCAATGCCTGCTGGCAGGATACAAATTGTACCCAGCAAAGGGGTTGGTAAATTTAGGGAAGGACAGAGACAGACTGATGGATCATGAATATTTCCAAGCACGGTCAATGTGTTAATAGTGGCATGATGGTCTTCAGTATTTAAGCCCATTTTATATAACAGGAATATCTCATGCGCCATGCTCACAACGCTTTACTGGTATTACAGAGGTGAAACCCACAGAGGAGCTCATCAGATGACGCTCCCTGCACAGAGGCAGGTTCTGACACTGCTACACTGCCTCTGGAATCTGAGACACGGGGCCTCTCCACAAGGCGACATGTCTCCCCCTAGAACGGGGGCTTTTCAAATGATTCACACCCAGAGGACATGCTCTCCATAACCTGCTTTAGAGCCAGCTCTTCACCACCTGCATCCAGCACACTGCATGCCAAGTGTCACGTGGTGTCATACAGGGGACTAGCCCCATGCTACCAACTTCATGCCACTCCAGACTCAACCCCATGCCCTAAAGGAGAACACACATTTCAGTTCTGTCCGTCTCTCCTCCTCTCTCGTCCTACTCAAATCCAGACACCATTCTTCACAATTTCTATTTTTAGGTCAGATTCCTCAGCATAAGTTACGAGACATTTTGAGATGAAAACAACTGAAGTTAGTAGAAGGAACTGGATGAGCATCAGTGGAGTTCTGTATGGACATGGAAAAGCTTCCATCCCAAATCATGGTCTTGAATGTAAACAGAATGGAAGAAGTAAAATTCACCTTTGAAATAGTTTCATGTCTTCAAAATAAAAGTCCTAAAGATGCAAAAACTACTTTTTAATTCTTAGAGTACAGAACTCAAACACTTGACTTGCTTGGAACTCATTGCCAAAGGTAAGCAAAGGCCATGAGGTCTATGAGCTGACACCTGACCCATGTGCTGATAAGAAATACTCTTTACTGAATGAAGAAACTGAATAAATGTGTTTGTCTTCAATTCACCTAAATTATTTTTTTCTTTTTTTGACAGGCAGAGTGGACAGTGAGAGAGAGAGAGAGACAGAGAGAAAGGTCTTCCTTTTGCTGTTGGTTCACCCTCCAATGGCCGCCGCAGCTGCTGCCGGCACATCGCGCTGATCTGAAGCCAGGAGCCAGGTGCTTCTCCTGGTCTCCCATGGGGTGCAGGACCCAAGCATTTGAGCCATCCTCCACTGCACTCCCTGGCCACAGCAGAGAGCTGGCCTGGAAGAGGGGCAACCGGGACAGAATCCGGCGCCCTGACCGGGACTAGAACCCGGTGTGCCGGCGCCACAAGGAAGAGGATTAGCCTAGTGAGCCATGGCTCCGGCAAATTCACCTAAATTCTTGAGAGTTTTATTTCTGAGTCTTACGTGTCACAGATTTTCCTGTTCCAAGTAGTTGTCATCGCTGATGACCTGCTTGAAACACTCACTTTCCAGTTGTTCACTTGCCCACTCCCGGCTCGCTCACTCTTCGCAACCCATTCATGCACATTTGCTGAATACTCACCACGGTCTCCCTAAGTCAGGGAAGCCAACATAAAGAATTGTCCTGCGTGGTGTCTCCAGTTGGAGCCACAAGCAGGATAGCTTGGCAAATTTTGCAAAAAGTGCTCCACAAACAGTAGGCATCGCTATCAACATTGCCATTGCGAGAACTACCACCACTGTCCTTATCACACATGCCAGCATTTTGTGCATGGCAAAAGCACGCACAGTCACGGGGACGTGTGAGACGCTGTCAGCAGGCAGCCATCACCGTGGCCTGTGATGTCAACAGAGGACAGTCTGAAGGGACCCCAGTCACCCACGCAGCCCACTGTGAACTGTCACCTCGTGGCTCAGGACTTGACTTCTCGCTTCCCCCACACGAGCACTGATGAATCGGGGCTCCGAGTTCTGGGTGCCGTGCACAGGGCCAGAGCTCAGGCTTTGGTCACTCCTGGGGGCCAAGTCTGCGAGCAGTGAGGCTGCTTTCTTCCCTCCACACAGCTCCTTGCCTTCCCCCACTGCGTTCCCTCTTTCAAGTAAAACCACTTTTTTTTTTCTTATTTGGAGGAAATTCTTTTTCCATCTAGACCCAGTCTGAGTGAGGGAAGAAAACATTAATAATTGACTTCTAAGAAAAATAAATGTAAACGCTCACATTTGTTGACTTCAGTTAAGCTCACCACCTGCAACGACTGGAGCTGCCAATGCCTGTATCTCGACTGTTCATCAAACGCTGACTTGCTCAGCCCCTGGTGACTGAAATATTTCTTGCCTTGATTGTTTAATTAAATTCAGGTATGGTTCAGAGGACAGAAAAGCCCCATGTCGTTAGAATAATGAGAGTTTTTGAAGTTTTAACTCTAGCAGACTATTAAAAACACAATCATGTTTTAACCGAAAGCTTCATAAAGTGCAGTTGTAATTTTCTAAGTAATGAAATAGTCAATCATTACCTGTAATGATAAAAGGATCAGGAATGGGATATAAAGATTCGTTTTCAGGTCATCAGTTCACAAAGCCAAAGCCTGCACAGTCCCAGTGGGACTCCATCCAGCACAGGCACACATGTGTACGCACACACACCCTCATTCTTTGCACAGGTGCAGATGACAGGCGTCTGTGACCTCAGCCCATTTTTCAATAAAAGATGGAGAGGCTGGTTTTGAAAACCACAAATCACAATCACTGCTTTTGTTTTTCCCTTTGACCAAAAAAAAAAATCAGGTTGGAAGTAAAAAGCCATAGAAAAATGATAATTCCTGATTGTACTTTTTCTAGGAGGAATGCCTACATGGTAGCATTTCATGACTCTCGGTGACAATTTTGTTCAACATAAATGAACTCCCTCTACAGACTTGACTGGGTGAGTCAACATCTCTATGGCAATCACCCCACACAAGAAGGCCCGGGCCCCATCCTCTACAAAGATGCACTTACTTGTGTCCAGACTCGTGGGCGATGGTGAAAGCCAGTCCAAGACCTGTATCTTCATTGATGGTACAGCTGCGATATTTACTACACATTCCACTTATGGGTGCAAATCCTATTAGGCATAAAGACCAAAAGGGCATACGGCAGTGTTGATGTAATGAAATAGAGGGAATTGCACACTTAGTTTCTTCCCTAGAGTGAGATCTGGTTTTCATCCTGATTTGGGGAAATATGAATGGGAAATCTTTTGGACAATCATATAAAGGATACTTAATAACGTAACAGGAGGGCATCTATTCCCAGGAACCAGGTGATTCTGTCCTAGGGAAAACAATGCACGGTTCTATGTGATGTTCCTGTTACAGGCATGACTGGTGTGAAAGAGAAGACAGGAGTACTGCAGATGGAGGAGAAATCCCTCCTTTTCCTGTGTATGTTCTCAAAACCCAAATGAAAAGTACTGTAGAAATGGCTGTGTTGGGAGAGCCCTCCCCCTGAGGTCACTCCCAGGTTCATAGCCATTCCTTAATGGCTGTGTTGGGAGACCCCCAAGATCATGACCAGATTCAGTGCCTCATACTTGTCACTATGAGCCTCTGTCAGACCCACCGCCATGATTTAGTAGAGAAAAGGAACTCAGAGAAAACTCAGCAAAAGGCAAAGGCACACAAGGAGACATCCGGGCAGAACTAGGCACAAACTTCTAGGAACCTTCTTCCAGCGACGTAGCACAGGACGTGCTAAATTCCCCTGCTCGAAGTTGTGACAATGAGGATAAAATGTTGGTTGCCAGGGAAGTCCCTTAGAGACTCCGTGTCCAGGATTTTTACTGGAGGATGACCACACTGGCCTCTGTGCCCAACACATACCGGAACTCGACCCTCCCAGAAGGAAGACAGGTGATAAGCTTAAACTTCACTGTTTCTCAGGTTGTGTGGAAGGAACCATTCAAGAATCTAAATTCTCAGAGGCCAGCTTTGCCTTCAGGGCTTTCCAGAGACAAGGAGCCAGGCTACCATGTTAACTCTGTTCTGGACAGTAGGACTGACCTCCACTAAACAGGGTCCTATCTGAAGGTTTTCATAATAAGAATCTCCCTCCATAAGAACTTGCAAAGAAATACAAAGTTGGGGGAAAAAAGTCCAGTTGAGTCCTGGTTAGTACCAGAATGTTCTCCATTGACCACCTGAAAAAAAATCATTGTTGTGCCTCAGATATGCACAGCTCTGCAACATGTTAAAAAAGTGCTAGGATTGATATTTACAGGGAGATGAGAAAATGGGAACTAGGATATAATGTTATACTATTTCTACACATATTCATGCTTGTACTATTTCTGCCAAAGAGACGCACTTACACCTATTTAATCCATTCTCACAAATGATAGAAGAAATGGAAGAAATAAATTATCTCCACGCTTGATGAGATACAAACTCTTGAACGTGTTTGAAGCTTTTCCTTGTGCAGTATTACTGTTGATGAACAAAAGTACACTATCCTGTTTAAGGTTCACACAGGGGTAGGAGTCTATTCTTTATGACTTTGCAACATCAGCTACTGTTTGTGATTATAGAAGAACAGCAACAATGCCCCCACCCAAGGTCACACCCCACACGCAGCCCTCAGAACACTCCAAAGGCTCTTACCCAGGGTATCACAGGGCTCGTTCTTCCAGGAACATATGTCCAAACCAGTCAGCAGGATGGCATGGTCATGGCGAGTCCCATCTTTCCCCATCAATCCAGACTGCCACTGGCAGAAGCTGCTTAAGGTGTGATCGGCATGATGACTTATCACCAGTCCTGGCTATGCACGAGACCACGCCCCCACGGCAACAGGATGAAAGCATGTTACGATGCATTGTCATCAAAGCAACTGCCGTCAATGTGAAGTTCAAATATATACCTGGATCTGAAAGCACGTAAGCTAATATATCCATTTTATGTGTGAAAATTCAAAGAAGGGTGTATTACGTAAAGCCTCTACAGCATACATGTAGACACTGACATGCCTTTTCTAGCTATGCACATATGCACTTTGGATGTGTCTGGCTGACCCCAACTGAATGGTCAGTGACTCAAGGTAACTCATGTACATGATTTGTTTTCATTCAAAGTCTGAAAAACACTTAACAAAACTATATAAAGCAACAGAATGATTTTAAGTGGCTTTGCACACAAGAACACACCTAGACATGTTCATTGCATAAGTAAACGGCACATGTGGACTTTGCAATCAATGGTTCTCAACATTTATTATTCCGTATTAAATGAAGTAAGTTTCCTTCAAAGGCAACATGTTTACAAGTCAATTTATAAATCTTTGTTTCTAGAAAATACATGCTAACTAGGAGACTACACGGAAATGGTGAAAGATCAAGCTCTGAGCCACAGGAAGGACCAGAGTGCAGAACATCAGAACCGAGGGACTTGGGGGTGTGGCATCTGAGCCTTCTTGATAGGACTGCTCAGTCTGTCTGCGGCTGGTCAGAGAAAGCGAGGTGACACAATAGCTTCCTTTCAGAGTCTCATTGTACTGAAAGCGCTCACTGCCGGTGTGTCTAGTTAAATGTTTTGTCTCTCCCCGATCAAGATTTCTACTTCAATGTTTACTTTGCCATTCCAGAGGTCAAACATACCTAAGCTAAAGGCTAGTCTTAAACATGAAGGCATGCCTTACATTCTTCAGCTGGGATCTCCAGGAAAACTGCATTAATTAAAGTTAACACAGGTGTAGATCAAACAGTAACCTCGCTTATTCTTTGCAGCTTGGATGAATTCCAAGGTGGAAACGTTTTAATACAAAGAATAATTAACCTGTCACCTGAGATGTCCTGCTCCTGAGACACCCCCCCCCAACCACACACTCACACAAAAGACAGCTGAGTGTGTAGCTTCCTTGACCAGTGGGGCGAGAAAGGGCCCTGCCCACACACACCACCCCTGCAAGAGAAAGAGCAGCATCCCACAACTGTCACGTCTGTGTTCTCAAGAGAACAGGCAGGTGTCATCTACAAATGCTTTGTTTTCTAATCGAGGAAACTGTGGCTAACAGGATTCTCAGATGATGTCAGCAAGGGTGGAAGTGAACGCTGTCCACTGTCCACTCTCCAAGCCGAGGTAGTGGTCAGCCTGGCACAGCACAGGAGGGAGAATCTTTTACAACTGAGATGCTCCGTCCTCCTGCCATGAACTGTCCACACTCATCTCCCTGTGCACTGAGGTCCACTCCGCCCCTGCAGCAGGTCTGGCATGGAGGCAGAGGAGAGCTTTCACCCCCTGCTACCAAGATCCAGCATTGTGGCACTGTTTGGGTCTTGGGCTGCAGTGAGAGAGGTATGATCAACATTCCAGAATCTACATAAAAATAAAAACCTGAGAGTGAGGGTGGTGAGGGCCAGCGCCACCATCCTGGAGAACAGGAGGTGACAGAGCAGCAATGCAAGGCCAACAAACACCTTCCAGCCACAGACACATCTCTGGCAACAGGTACCCTTCGCCCAGTGGGCCGAAGACACACTTTGTATGTGGATTCCTAGTGTGCTTCCCACCCACAGGGGTGAGGCAGCTCTTCTATTCTGATTTCCTCCTAAGCCAATTAAAAGACTACTCCTTACTGTCCCTGGTAAAAACATAAAATAAAGTACTTTTAAAAACCGAAAGGAAACTCATAGTATGAGACACAAAACATTGAGTCATTCTTGTCCCCCCCCAAAGAAAATTAAGAGCAAACATATTGAAGGGGAAAAGTGCAAAACTGTACATTTATTTTTCTGGGGGAAATAAAACTACTGGTTTCCAAGACAGAATACCTGTTCATCCTCTAGAAGAATCAGGCCTACGATGGCAATGTTGATATTTCCTCCTATTGTACCATCCTTGAATAAAGCCGACACCTGAAAAAGACAGGATACCACATCAGCCTGGTACAGGACAACATTTTCCCCGCTCACTGGTGAGGCCTGGAGTCCTACTGCGAAGGCCGACCCCTTGTTCTTCAGTGATGCAGAGTGGAGTTTTCTTGTATTGCTGGATGAACAGGTATAGACAGGCCTAACCACCAAGGCAGAACCCATGCATCTGGGGCGTGGAAATAAAAGGTTGCCTTTGGTGGGTTGATGGGATCCACCTCTCATCCTCAAACAGTCAAGACCTCTGGTTGAGAGGTGTCCTTGCTGGAACACATGGGAAATTTTGTGGGTTTTTAGTCCTAGGTATGACTACATAAACTGAGCATGCCCCGAGCCCCCGGGCAAGGAATCCCAGGAGCACAAGAGGAATTCTTGGGATAAGACTGAGAGGATGCAAGAAGGAGAAGGGGAAAATGTGGTCAGAAGGTGATGAAGAAAGACTCAAACATGGAGAATACGGGTCACAGAAGTGGAAACAAGTGATGAACGTGACATTCAGTGGTGAGTACGGAGAGAGTGACAGCCAGTACAGACACCGGGCGTCTACAGTGGCACTGAGTACAGACATAGTGAGAAAGTTCTAAAGCCAAACACTTTCACAAGTCAAAGCAGTCCAGGCCGTGTGGACCTCACAGCATGAGATCTTAACCGCATGCACTAGTAGGTGGCTCTGTGTCACCACTGCCCCCAGTTCCATGGGGTTCAAGAACCCTGTGGTACACTGAAATGGAAGAAAGCAACACATCCTCTTGAAATGTTGTCAGTGGTGAGGGACAGCTGCCCCCACATCAGAGTGCCTGAGTTCAAGTCCAGGTTCTTCTCCTGGTTCCCGTTTCCTGCTCATGTGCCGCCTGAGAGGCAGAGGCGATGGAGCAAATAATCGGATTCCTTGCCTTGACCTGGCTCAGCCCCAGCTGTTATGGGCTTTTGGGTAGCAAACTAGAGGATGGGCGCTCTCTCTGTTGTCTTTCTTTCTCTCTCTCTGCACCTCAAATTTAAATTTAAAAATAAATTTAAATTTAGATTACTGTCATTAAAACTGTTTTTAAAAATCCACTCTGGTGACTCGACTGTCTTCTGCCATCTAGACTTCACCTGCGTGAAACTGACCTTAGCATGGCTCTCCTCACGCCCCCGCAGCCGCCAGCTGAGACAGATACACACTTTACCTGAGCTGACACCCTAGAGGGCTGTGCTACTTTTCTAGTTCTGTAGATAAAACAACTTATACTCAACATTGGTGAAACCACAATCCAAAATGGTGAGCCTCTGACAGTCATCTACAACCAGGAACGTAACATGATGAACAGGTGCTCCACACGCACACCTCAGCATCCTCCTAGAGACAGGCTCAAGCCATTTTTTTCCTTCATTTTGTGTTTTCTGAACTTCTGAAAATGGCTCTTTCAACTGGGGCACAGTGTAACGATAAAACATTTCTTGTATCTGAGACCTGAGTCAGCAAGTGAAAAGTAGGAAGTGAAACAGGTGCGCACACACATGTGCACACACACACACACGCACACACACACCTCTGCATAATTACACAGGTAGCCTCAGCACCAAGGCTGGCCCTACCATGTTGAGCACTGTCAGCACGTAGGTGGTGATATTTTCATGGCCATGGTTTTGCATCATCGTTTTGTCAACCACCACCAATGTCTCCACGTTCAGCTCTTCATTTCTATGGGACTTCAGCAGAGAGCGCTTATGCCGGAAGCCGGAGTTATACTCATCAGGCAGGATGAACAGGTCGTCTTTGGGAGGCTGGGGCATGTCTATGGGGGAGGCACAGAAAGCCAGTCAAAGCAGGTGTCATCACACAGAACCAGTGGGCTAACTCAGTCCACAGAAACATGGGCTCAAAAATCAAGGCTCCTGATGAAAGCCATACAACTTTAAACACCCTGCATGGAAACCTTATGTTGAAGAGAAACACTACATTTAGATAAAACTGGTTTAGTCTAAGTGTCATGGAAATCACTGATGGATCCAGCTTTATGCAATTGCATCTTGGTTTCATATAATGAGAAGGGGCTCCTTGGCTTCCAGGCCCTCCCATCTAGAAGTCTGATCTCCAGACGTAAGCACAGGGCTTCGTGAAACAGGCTCCCCAACGCGTTCACGGGAAAGCAATGGTGCTGCGCACTCCGGAAGGGAGCAGCAGGAGCCGGCACTGTTGCGCTACTGGAAGACTTTAAAGGACCTGAGAGTTTTCAGCGCTGATTTCAGTGTCTGAACACAAACCCGTTTGTCTATGTTGCTTCAAGTGGATCGTCCAGTGTCTGCAGTGGGCCACTGCGTCCTAGTGAGCTCCATGCTCTCAGCTTCCATCTTCCTGCCCCCACCCCGAGGCCGAGCCCACTAAGATTGAGTTTTTGAGCTTTTCAAGTCCATTATGGTGAATGTAGCACAGGATCTTGATTTGTGGGCTGGAATGGGTTCAGATGCCACATGGGCACTGAGAGTTGAAGTGACCTTAATTTCTGCTCATGATTGCCTGGGCTCACTTGGTCACCAAGTCTCCCTGAGCTCCTGCAACACGCCCACCTCTGCGCAGGTGCTGGGGGTGGTGGGAGAGGCTCACTGGGGGCAGGTGCAGCGGGGCGATGCCTTGGGGAGAGCTCAAGGAAGTGAGCGCAACTCCAGAAAACCAGAACCATCAATGTAAACAACAACTCAGGTGTCATGACCAAAAAGACCTTCATGAGATCCTGGTGACAAGTGGTAGATTAATGAAGTCGCCTAAGCTGCCCTTTTGATGTGGTGAAGTGCATAAATACGTGCATAAATACATTACCTCAGCAGGAAAGCCATGTGGGCTCTACTGAACCTAAACCTCAAAAATACAGAATTACTGGGCAGAGACGCCGGGGCTCTTTGAGGCAGACTCTGCACCCATGAGCAGCATCATTTAATCACTCAGGGAACAGTCCTTTAAGAAAAAGGAAAAAAAAAAAAAGCAAAACCCGAGATGGCCTAGTGTCCACGGCCTACCACCTACCATGGAGGGTGCCCGGCCCTGCTCAGGCCGCAGCCTCTCTGGGGTCCCTGCTGGAGTTTAGCACCGACACCCAATCTCACCTCTCCAGCAGGCTTAGGCCAGACAACCACGCGGTTTCCACTGGCTTAACAAACATCCTCATGGTTCAACACACAGAAAGAATCGCCCTTACATACATTTCTTGCGTCTTCCACAGAAATGCTGCTTTTGAGGGAGCCCCAGGGGAAAGCTGGGCGGTTTCCACCTCCCAGTGGCCATCAGCACGTGGCCGGCCCTGGGCGCTGCGGGCACTGATCTCTTGTACAGCACGTGGGAGGGCGGGTGGCCCCCTGCAGAGCTGCTGGCTTGGCCCGCCAGGTGTGGAGGCAGAGGCTTCAGGAGGTAATCAGCTGCTTCTGTCCTGATCATGCCTGACTGGAGAGAGAACAGCGGAAGGGAACACGGTCACTGCCTCCGTGGAAGAACCACGGTCACAGCCTCCATGGAGGGGAACCACGGTCACAGCCTCCATGGAGGGGAACCACGGTCACAGCCTCCGTGGAGGGAACCACGGACACAGCCTCCATGGAGGAATCACGGTCACACCCTCTGTGGAGGGGAACACGGTCACACCCTCTGTGAATGGAACACGGTCACACCCTCCGTGGAGGAACCACGGTCACACCCTCTGTGGAGGAGAACCACGGTCACACCCTCCATGGAGGGGAACCACAGTCACACCCTCTGTGGAGGGGAACACAGTCACACCCTCCGTGGATGGAACACGGTCACAGCCTCCGTGGAGGGAACATGGTCACACCCTCCGTGGAGGAACCACGGTCACACCCTCTGTGGAGGGGAACACGGTCACACCCTCTGTGGAGGCCCGGCCCTTCCCCAGCCCTCATGGTTCCCGTTCACTCCTCCTGAAGCTCCTGGCCCTGCAGCTGACCACACTGTGAAAGGGTTCAGATGCTGGCCCAGGAGGCGGGATGACAAAGGCCTCCCCTATCCACCTGTGCTCCCTCCAGACCTTTCTCCTGAGCCCTGGGGGTGGGCTCCTGTGGCTGGACTGCAGGAACAGAGGGCCCCAACCCACCAGCGTGGGGTCCCCTAAACCAAAGTCGGGGGAGGCTGGGGATGAGCAGTGCACAAACTGAGGCATCAATATTGGGCTCAACAATCCAGATACAGAGAAAAACGAGAAAGAAACTCTGTTTAAGTGAATCTTTTATTTATTTATTTATTTGACAGGTAGAGTTATAGACAGTGAGAGAGAGAGACAGAGAGAAAGGTCTTCCTTCCATTGGTTCACTCCCCTAATGGCTGCTACAGCCAGTGCACTGCACTGATCTGAAGCCAGGAGCCAGGTGCTTCTCCTGGTCTCCCATGTGGGTGCAGGGCCCAAGCACTTGGGCCATCCTCCACTGCCCTTGGGCCACAGCAGAGAGCTGGACTGGAAGAGGAGCAACCGGGACTAGAACCCTGCACCCATATGGGATGCCGGCGCCGCAGGCGGAGGATTAACCAAGTGAGCCATGACGCCAGCCCCTAAGCGAATCTTAAAACGTGAATAAAATGAGATACTTTTTGGAAAAGTATAACTTTACTGAATTGACATAAGTAAAGTGAATTGCCTTTAGGGCTGATTCTGAGGCCAGAGTGCTATTTAGGACATCCGCCATTCTATGAGTCTGCTGAGTATCTCACTTCCCATGTTGGATCACTCTCCCCTTTATTTATTCTATCGGTTGGTGTTAGCAGATACTAGACTTGTTTATGTGCTCCCTTTGACTCTTAGTCCTTTCATTATGATCAATTGTGAACTGAAATTGATCACTTGGAGTAGTGAGATGGCATTGGCACATGCCACCTTGATGGGATTGAATTGGAATCCCCTGGTATGTTTCCAACTCTACCAATTGGGGCAAGTCAGCCCGAGCATGCCCCAAATTATACATCTCTTCCCTCTCTTATTCCCACTTTTATGTTTAACAGGGATCACATTTCAGTTAATTTTCAACACTTAAGAATAACTGTGTGATAATTACAGAATTAAACCAGTCATATTAAGTAGAACAGACAAAAAAAAATACTATGAGGGATAATGTATTAAGTTGTCCATTAGCAGTCAGGGCTATGCTGATCAAGTCACCATTTCTCATAATGTCCATTTCACTTCAGGAGGTTTCCTTTTTGGTGTTCAGTCAGTTGTCACCAATCAGGGAGAACATATGGTATTTGTCCCTTTGGGACTGGCTTACTTCACTCAGCATGATGTGTTCCAGATTCCTCCATTTTGTTGCAAATGACTGGATTTCGTTGTTTCTTACTGCGGTATAGTATTCTGGCTGAAAAGCCCATGAGAGTATTTCAGGCATGGAAAGCCAAGGCACTCTGGCAAAAAGATCTCTGTGAGTGAGATCCCAGTGGAAAGAACAGGTCTTCAAAGAGGGAGGTGCCTTTCTCTGAAGGGAGGAGAGAACCTCCATTTTGACTATGACCTTGTCTAAACAAGATAAGAGTCGGAGAACTCAAGGGGCTTCCATAGCCTTGGAAACTCATGACTGGTGCATAGGGAGATTATTGATGCCATAAACAGGAGTGTCAATTTGTAAAGTCAACAACAGGAGTCACTGTGCACTTACTCCTCATGTAGGATCTCTGTCCTTAATGTGCTGTACACTGAGGCTTAATGCTATAACGAGTACTCAAACAGTATATTTCACTTTGTGTTTCTATGGGGGTGCAAACGATTGAAATCTTTACTTAATGTACACGAAACTGATCTTCTGTAAAAAAAAAAAAAAAGAAAAGAAATTATCAATTCCCAACTTGACTCTCGCTGGGATTAAACATGACAATAGGTCTGATCTGATTTCATCATCATTTAAAAAAAATCATCTATTATTTTTCACTTTATGTTTCTGTGTGGGAACAAACTGTTGAATCCTTACTTAAGGTATACTAAGCTGATCTTCTGTATATTAAGATAATCGAAAATGAATCTTGATGTGAATGGAAGGGGAGAGGGAGTGGGAAAGGGGAGGGTTGTGGGTGGGAGGGACGGTATGGGGGGGAAAGCCATTGTAACACATGAGTCGTACTTTGGAAATTTATATTCATTAAATAAAAGATAAAAAAAAAAAAAAAGCTTTTACAGATGTCCCTTCTATTCAGATCTATTCTAGTCAAGAACTTGAAGAAACATTAAATAAAATCAGGGAAAGTAAAAAAAAAAAAATAAAGTGAATTGACATAAGTAACCAGGAAGCTCTTTCTAAGTAAGATATGGAAGAAAACAGGAAATCAATGGTTTTATAAAGCCACCAAAAATGTCTGTACCGCGTAACACGCTAAGAAGAAAAAAACAATATTAAAAATATCTTGAGGGGAAAAATTGAACAATTACATTTTTACCTTTTAGAGTAAAAGCTTTTCAAAGCTGGAAGTACGGCTGCTGCTAAATAGGAGGACAAACAGGCAGAAGTGCAAACAGCCCACAGTCAAGGCCACGGCGGTGCGCCACAGGCATCACCACTCCAACGGCACAATTCAGTTCTAGGGACTCAGCCTTTGGGACCCTTGCTAAATACTTCTTGTCAGCACACCTTCCATAATCACAAATACAGCATTGCTTATAATATGTATAGCAAATAATATATATATATATAATATAGCAAATATAGCATTGCTTATAATAAAAAAACACAATCGACACAAAAAATAAAAACAAGAAGCAATTTGAATATGTATCAATGAACTCAGGGAGTTTTCTCCAAGTTCAGTTGTATAATTAGAGCAGGAAATCATTAGAAGTTGGCCAGTTATGTATCCACAGTACTCACAGTCAGGATTATTATTTTTATTATTTGGTCCCTGAGACTGTAGCCCACATTTTCTACATACAATAAACTTATCTCTCAGTGATGCCTGGAAGTAAGTAGCACTGGTCTTCTCCTTTTGAAGGATTCAGAGAGACACAGGCTGATGAGCTCAGCTTTTCAAGGTCACGTGGCCAGGAAATACTGTGTACAGACTGAACAAAATTGGAATAATCATAATACCTGTTAAGATGTTTGATAAAGGTTTCTGAAGGTACTGAATTTTTTAAGTCTATAATAGAGTATGCAATGTGATCCCAATTATGTTCATTCTAAAAATTGTACATCAACCCTTAAAGAATTTTCCAGGAGGACTGATGAGAAATTATTGGATTTTCTTCAGGGTGAGAACATCAAGTAGGAGGGGTGCGAAAGGGGAATTCCACTTCAGTTTTACAGCTTTCTGCCTGGTTCAAGCTTCACAAGTCTTTTAAAAAGAACTTTAAAAAAGAGTTTTCAAAGCACCCATCCTTTAAAACAAATGTCAATGGCATTGCTGGGGTGCAGGATGAAAGGTGAACTTTTAAAGAAACCTATGAATGTTATTAAATGTTGCCCCAATGATATCCTACAGGTACAACACATGCTGAAAGGATACCCAAGGATCATTAGGACTCCAGCCATCACTGCTATTATTGTGCCAAGTTTCTTCAGTCATTGTGTTAACGTGGTACACTGAGTTAGGGCCTTGTTAAGTCCTGTGAGATGCTGACACAGGGTGGTTGCTCCAATTTGCCTCTGACTTGGGGAACCTGAGTCTGATTCTCTGTGGGGACTTGAAGGAGAGACTTGCCAGGATTCAATGCGTGTATGTGTGATGAAGTCCTGGGCTGTCAGGAGTGAGCCTGGTCTTTGCCCGCTGTGAGAGGACCTGTCTAGAGGGCAAAAGGCAAACCCAACTCCATGGGAAAGCAGTGTTGGGAGGGTAAACAGAAAAGAAAGGAGGCAGGCTGGTCACCCATTTGCAGAGGAAGCACTGGTCACCGGGTTCTCCCTGCCTGGGGGAGGAGGCAGGAGAAGGTAAATTATCAGAGAAGGCATCAGGGCGCTCGGGGGTAGACCTCCTGCGGCCGGAACACCACCAGCAAGCGGAATGCAGAACCTTGGAATGCGAGTGCTGGGTGGAGGTGGAGTGTCGCTCCCCGTCTTCGTGGGGGGAACGACACAGGACCCTGCGTTGTTCTTTTGTCTGCTCGGCCCTCCCCGGGTTTGCTGCTGGTTCTTCCCGGGTTGGCTACCGTCCGTCCCTTCCACCTCCGTGGAAGGGCGGTTCCCCCTGCCACTTTCCCCACTTCCGCGGGGGAGCGGCACACCGCCGGCCGGCTCTCTCGGGGGCTGCTCAGGTGTTCCTTCAGATAGATGTTCCCTGGTGCATGTTGTCTCTCTCCTCCTTTATAGTCCTCTTCCACCAATCCCAACTCTGCTACCCACACACCGAGTACACTGCTCTCCTCCAATCAGGAGCAGGTCCTGCTGTTTATTGGTTGAACTGGAGGCAGCTGTGTAGAAGCTGTTTCCTCCTCTCCCAGCGCCATATTGTGGGAGAGCAGA